CCTCCAAGAAGCAAAACCAAGAAAGCTTGTCCTTCCTGATGAGGAGGTACCATCTGGGACAACAGTTCTGTACTTCATGAATTATCTTTCTCACTGCTTGACACTTCTAATGTGTCTCACAAAGGCTGAGCACTCAAATTCCTTAAGAAGATGTTTCTGTAAGATCAGTCAAGTCCTTTAAGCACTTAAAACATGCCAAGATGTAAGTTGCACAGATTAGAGACTAAGTCATAAATTATTAATAAGCTTGTTCTAGAAAATCATCATGCACTTGAAAGGCAATTTTTATAGCCTAGTGTGTCAGTAGCCTGTACCAGCAAGCTCTTTCACTCAGCAGAATCAAAAAGGATTTGAAAGGATGGAGAAACAATTTTTTCCCAGGGTTTTCTTGCTTGCCTTTCACTAACTGACATACAAAATCTATAAAATATTTTATCCTCCAAGAAATGTGTTTTGCTATTTTTAGACTAAAGACATAGAATCTTGTGCTCACAAATCCTGTTGCAGATACAATTGTTCAAAGATGGAATAAATTTATGTTATAACAATGGTAAAATTTAAAACAAACAGATTAACAGGCTCAAAATGTATAATACAATAATAGAAGTTGTACTGGGCAAAGACTTTAAAAAATAAACCAAAGTTTCTCTTGCTCATTGCAGCTCTCTGCTGGTCCTGTTACATGTGAAATACAGTCTAATTTCAGCAAGATTTGACTTTTCTGGTGGGAATTTATTTCTCCTCAATCCAGATTATAAATGTTATAATGTTCAGCAGGTGGCACCAGCTGCCCACAGCCAGTGCAGGCTCCAGAATGACACCAAGGTGTGCTGGTGTGTCTTGCCTGAAAATCTGAGTCATACCCAGAGCCAGGGAAGTGACAGTTCCAACTCACAAGCCATCTCCGGAGGCACTGGAAAACACGTTCCTCACTGTAAGAGAAGTTTATTTTTTCCCTCTCCCTGTTGCCATCATCGTCTGTGCTTTGTGTTCTTTCACATTCTTGTGCCTCACCTGTGCAGTTACATAACTTGTGTGTACACAAGACACAGCTTTTGTCAGTGCTCTGCTAACCCAGCTGTCCACTGCCACCCACAGTGCCAGAGAAGAGTGGGATCTGCTGGCAGGGAGGGCAAGGCTGGGCAAGGGACACTGGGCCACACCACCCTTTTACCTCCTTTGGTGGATACTCTGCATCCTCCTGCCCTGCCTTCACTTTACTGGCCCTGCTGCAGAAGAACAAGTAGATGAAATAAATTGCTGATACTGGTTTTGTTACATTGCCAGCTCTTCAGTGCCTGTCTACTGCCCGTTGTACAAAAGCAGTGAGGAGCCATGAGCCAGGCAGGCACGAGGCACAGTATGGGGCAGTGAGCTCAGTGGAGCAGAGCCCTTAAAAGAAAGGATCATGTACTGCCAGCCTGGTTTTGCATATATTCCCATCTAAAGCCCTGGTTTTGCAGTCTTTTGCATGTGATTGTTTTTCACATGAGAAGAAATCCATTGCTTTTACTGGTCCAGACCAGGTTTATAGATAATAACAGTCCTAGATTGGTATTTTTTTATGCCAATGGGATGATTCCTAAAACAGGACATACATACATAATTATTTTCATGACCAAATTACAAATCTCCACCCAGAATAATATCCCCGGCTGAACAATGTAACCCAGGCTCACCTGAGTGCCCAGCTTGTACTTCATTTTTGGACAGAACCAGTCAGAATGAAGGAGCCACAGATTTCCCTGGAGAAATGCACTCCAGACTTGTTTGAACACAAACAGCAAGGGTAGATACAAGGCTTTTGCCCTATGATAGGCAGTCTGGAGTTGGCTTTGCTTGACAAGGTGAACAGTGCATGGATGGAGAGTAGGAACCCAGAGGAAACTAAACAATAATGCTTTGTCAAGTGAGTTCCAAAAGGGGCAACATCTCTAATCAGGTCTTGCTACAGAAGTCAGTCTGACAACACAAGAAGCAAGGTTTTATCCTTACATGAGTGTTTTATATTTTCCTGTGGATGCACAGAGAAAAGACATGGTGCACCTCCAACATTTGCTAACATTTAAGAGGGAATTTCACAGTGTTCAGAAACCCTGAAGCCACAAGAAATTTAAGTTAGAAAGTCATCTTCAGTAAACCCTTTGATAGGTTGTTGGTGTGCACTTCATTTGATATTTCAGATTAATTCCTTTGCATGTTCTTTATAGTCAAAAGAAAAGCGTTGGCAGTTTTTCATAACTCCCCACCTTTAAAATGGGTTGCCTTAGTTACCGTGGCCAGCTTGAGAGACAGCAAATTTAGTACTAATACATTTTTCAAAGCCTTGCACTTTCTGTAAAATATCTATGTCAAAATCAGCTACAACATATGCTTTTATGGTAGTGTTAATAAGCACAATGGTGATGTCTAGTCAAGTTAAATAAGGGGTGAAGGTTGTCACAGGCCAGAACAATAGTCTTGGGTCATTACCTTACTGATCATCCTATGTACACTGGGAGAAACAGGTTGTGGAATTTCCCTGTAATTGAAAATCAGGTTGGCTTCCAATGGCTCAGATATCTGGTGCTTGGAAGCAGCCTGCTGCAGTCAAGATCATACTTTCCCCAGTAGGAAATTGATAAGTCTTAAGTTCTCCTCTTGATTCAGTATTTCCTCTGACACTTCAGAAAATTGGAGGAAACAGTTATTCTTTAAAGGGTAACTACAATCCATCATAAACAGAGTTAACAGTGGTCTCCAAGGTTATTGATTTATCTTGTTCTCATGAGCACAGTATTTATTTGAGAACAGCTCAAATAGTTTATTTATGAAATTAGCCAGTGTGTATTTCACTGCAGCCCCGGTGTCTTTCCTGCTCAATAGTTGCCACTTGATGCTTCTAAACTGCATGACTCTCTGAATTTGAGCTAAATACCTCAAACTCAGAAACAGTAATAATGTGAAGGAGGAAAATGCTTTGTTTACCTTTTATTACATCTTCTCCTGATAGAAAAAGCAACCTTCTAAGTCTTCAAATTACTGAAAGAGCCTCCCTTTTTCTCAGAAGCTTCTGTTTTTACAGAAGGTCAGACTTCAGGGCTGAGTTTATCCATGTGAAGTTTCACCCTGTGGCTGAAATGATATACTGAAAATGTTTTACAAAGCTTTAAGTGACAGTGGGGAAAAATAAATAACAAGTCAGCCTCAGCCTTTGGTCGCAGTCAGAACCAAAGCAGGTGTGTTTCTACATGTAAACGTATCTCCTAATACATGTAACTGTGCAAACTAAATACTACGTGGATTTTAATGTATGGTATCAAGAGGGCAGTACTCCTTCAGCTGCTAGATCCATCAGTTTCTAGACTTTATCTTCTCAGCTTTACAAACAGAAATGCCCTCTGGGGTGAGCCCTCTGCTCCAGTTGCTACTAGTGGTGGTAGGAGTTGCTGTTTGGAGAGAGTATGAGCCCAGACATTTCCTGCACTTCTTTCTCCTCAGCCTTCCCCAGCCTCCACAGCTGTTGTGTCCATGATGTTAGAGAGTACATTTATGGGCCTTTTCTTGGAAAATTTACCTAATCCTTTTTTGGACCTGCTGATACCATTTGCCTTGCAGCCTCCTCCAAGTTCTAAAGGTTTACTGCCCACTATGTAAAGAAGTACTTCCTTAAGTGTGTTTTATAATGATATATCTTTGCAACATCCCCAGGAAGAAGAGCATATTCATCCTCATTTGACAGTAGGGAAAGATTAGGAGGGTTGTTTCCAAAAGTGCCTCTTAATAGATGTCTCATGCATGAGTTCATCTGATGTGAGGCATCTGAGTTTTCAGATGCCTGATTTCTATCCCTGATCAGTCATGCACAATGATTAACATACAAATGAGGATCACTTGTGGTGTTGTTTGATTTATCGACTGACCTATAATTAAATACTAATTCCACAGCAAAGCAGAGGCCAAACCTAGTTCTCCCAGACACGGTCAACTTCCTTTTCTTGGAGGTTTTTATCTGGCTCATCATTCATTATCTTGTGCAGCCATTATCAAAAAGGAGCTACAATAAAAGCTGGTATCATTCACTGATGTTCCAGACTTATCCACTGAACAAAGAGTGGCATTTGCCTGATCCAGAGAAAACTGCAGTGGAAAACACAGTGTAGAACTGTAGTTACAGCCTGTCTGTTAAGGCACGAATGGAAATGTATAGAATTAATATTGCTGCGGGGAAAAGGATCTCAAAAGGTGTCCTACGGTTCCCTAGAAAACATATAACATGAGAAATGGCTGAGAGAGCTGGGTTTGTTTGGTCTCGAGAAGAAGAGGCTCAGTTGTAGAGACCTCATCGCTCTCTACAACTACGTGAAAGGAAGTTGTGGTGAGGTGGGGGCCGGTCTCTTCTACTGTGCCAGCAGTGAAATGACCAGAGCAAGTGGCCTCAAGGTGAGGCAAGGGAGATTCAGACTAAATATTAGAATTTTTTTTTTTCACTGTTAGGGTGGTCAGGCATTGGAATAGGTTGCCCAGGAAGGTGGTGGAGTCACCGTCCCCGGAGGTGTTCAAGAGGCATCTGGATCTGGTTCTAGGTGATGTGGTTTAGTGGTTTAGGGGTTACAGTGATAGTGCTGGGTTGAGGATTGGACTTGGTGATCTTAAAGGTCTCTTCCAACCTGGCGACTCTATGATTCAACGATTCTACGATTACCAGTATTTCAATATCTGAACCCCCACAACATCCCCATCAAAATCAGAAGAGGACGAGAAGAAGGTGCAAAGGAAGTAGGAAAGCAGCAAGCAGAACCAGAACCAACAGGTTCTGCCTGCCCCGCGTGCTTCTACACCAGCAGCGAGCGGCCACTGCGGGGCTGTACTGCCCGGGGAGCGGGGCTGGCCGGGAGGGCGGGGCGGCGGCGGGGCCGGGCCGGGCGGTGTCCCCGGCGGGCGGCGGAGCCGCGGCGGCGGCGCGGGGCGGGCGCACTCGGCAGGGGCGAGACCGCGGTGTCGGGGGCTCGGCTCTCGCCATGCACCCCCCGGCCGCCCCCCGGCCCGCCGTGCTGCCGCGCCTGCTGCTCTCCAACGGGGCGCGGGCGCTGCTGTGGCTCGGCCCCGTGTACCTGGCGGGGTACCTGGGGCTGAGCGGCAGCTGGGTGCTGCTGGCGCTGGCGCTGTGGCTCTGCTGGGGATACAACCGCCGGGGGAAGCGCGACCGCCTGGCCGCCGCCTTCGCGCTGCTGGAGGACGAGCGGGAGGCGGTGTGCCGGGGCCTGGCCGCCCGGCACCTGCCGGCATGGGTGAGTGGGGACCGGGGGGTGCTGCCCGGCATCCCCCCGGCAGCGGGGATGCTGCGGGTCCCGGCGACGGCGGGACTAGGACAAAGAGCGGGGTGTCCCGTAGCAAGCAGCCGAAGGAGTGGCAGTGATGCCACGGGCCGAGCAGTAGCGTCTCTGATTCTGAAGTCTTGCTCAGTAAAGCGAGGATTAAACTGGAAGTTGTCTTAGCCGAGGAGATGTGCAGTAAGGGGGTTTGTAAAGCAGACCGCTGTATCGCTGGAGAAACCTCCTTTCAGATATGTGCTGTTGCATTGCAGGTATTTTGCTGTCGAGGATACTTATTTCAGACTTTCTGATCCAGCAAGTTTTCTCCTCTTTAGTCACATTTAAAAACAAACAAAAATATATAAACATAATATTCTCTGCCTGCTAAAAGCCAAATATTTATCTTTAAAGAGCTGTCTATGGATGGTGTGGAAAGCCTACCCGTTTGTTGTTCGCATTTGTTTCCAGCCACTCTAGGTTTTAAAGTGAAGAAACTAGAAAATCTACCTGCACATTTTATTCCACGTCTTTGGTTATTTGTTGGGTAGCCGTGGTTGGCTAATGGAAAGCATGATGAGATGTTTGGGTTTTTTTTTTTTCTTTATCATCATTTGCTAAACATTTAAAAATTCCCTGCCAGGGACTGGTAGGGAAATGCTTTTCTTGTAAAAAAGAGAATATCAAAGAGCTCTCTTTGTAAGGAGTGTTGCATGGAGACATTTATAGTCAGCAAACTTTTATGTAGCCTACAGCACTTGGCTGTCCTTAGTTCTTTGGGAAACGAAGGCAGCTGGCAAGTTCTGGGGAGGGAAGCCAGGGTCTCCAGGCAGAGCTGGTGCAGCTCCCTGCACATGTTCCCTCCCGCCGGGCACAGAAGCCTTTCTGAATGAGGTTTCTGCTTGTTTGTATTGACAGAGCGTTTAAAACAACTCGCAGCATTAATGAGTGTGGTGGTGTCAGCTCTTGTCCCAATACTGTGTTTTATCCTCACGTGCCCTGGATCGTGGTAACCAGAAATTGAGTCTCTTAGTCACTGTCACTCGCCTCCCTGTGCACACAAACTCAAAAAGTTCTACTAGGTTTCGTGGTTGAAAGTGTCAGGCTTCATTAGTGTGGGAGGAGGCAGCTGATGGAAAGGATTACTGATTGCTCTGTACTCGGCCTTCACAAGGATGCACAGAGAGCACTGTGTGCCCCAAGCACAAGAGAGGCTTGGAAAAAGGTTTGGGGAAACTCCAGCAGAGCCCGCCGAGATGGTCAGAGGCTGTAGCACCTGGTGTGAGGAGGGGCTGACACAGCTGGGACTGTTCAGCCTCCTTCAGGAGGCAGAAGGGTTTAAGGGGTATCTTGCCTCTGTCTCCCACTGCCCAGCATGTGCTCACAGAGAAGGTAGAGTGACACTTTCCAGAGGTCTGATTCCTGAGTTGAGAATTCTTGGAGCTGGCTGCCAGAAGGCAGGATAGGATGTAGGACCAAAGAATAAAGGGGCTGCACCCTGTGCTTTTAGTTTTATCTTTCATCCATGTTGTCACTTCTCCCCCTTTTCACTTCTACATTGATAACTTCATCAGTTGGTGTTTGCTTCCACACCATGCTTGTACTCAATGCATTTTTAACTCCTCTGTTTAATTCTTCTCTCTCCTTCCTCTGCTGATCTTCTGCTTCTCCCCTGTGCTGATCTTGGAGGCTGATTCTCACATGATGTCTATTCAGTTTATTCTCTGTGGTGTTGTCTTTTTTATCTTTCATTTTTTGCCTTTCAGTGTTCATGAGCCTTTATTGAGAGAGCTCTAAAAATGTCCCTTGCATTCTTCTCTCCTGTCATGCAGAGGTGGGAGTAGAAATACAATTCAGGCTAACGGGAGCATGGGTTGGATTTGCAGTCTTGTAATCCTAGGAAAGGTTCTGGAGGTGAGAAGAAATGGCAGCATCTTGAGATTTGTAAATCTTTGTCTCTTAATGTGCTCTATAGTAAAATGAGGGGGATCCATCCAATGAAGAGTTAAGACCAATCATTGGTTATGCTATTGGTTCAAAACTGTTCTCCCTAAGAGCAGTGCAGGGCTTCTTCAAATGTGACTCGAGTTCCGCTCTGTCCTGGTATCAGTTGTTAGGAGATTTTCATATTGCAGCCTTTCCTCCAGGGGGCATGCTGGGAGGGTTTCCCTAATCTACTCAACCATCTGTTTAGGGGAATTTTCAGGGTTATTTTGCAGCACCAGTTTCTTGGCTGAAACCAGCCAGTGAGTTTGGAATAGAAGGCATTCTTGTGCTAGACAGTGTATGTGGGCAGGCAGCGCTTCCTTGGGAAACCAGGCTGGAAATCTGCTCATGGCAAGCAGGGTGAGATCTGTGTCTTGGAGTGGTGAGACTTTCTGACTGCAGCTTGTTCAGCCTTTAGCATTACTTCTGTAAAAGCAGGCAGTGCCCAGAGCAGAGGTTTGAGCTTCCACCTTCTTTCTGGCTCCTTGGGGTGGTGGTGGCTTCTCCACGTTTCTTTTGCAGCTGTTCCGCAGGTTGCACTTGAGAGGACCCAAGTATGCTCGGTTCCTCGCTGATGTTAAGCTCCTTTTACCAGGAGAAATACTACTGGGTACAGAACTGTCCTTTTAAAACGTTGCCTTTTAATTCCTTTTTCATATAAAAGGCTTGTTTAGACTTTTTTTTCCTTTTTGCCCCTGTCCCTTAAAAAAAACAAACAGAGCGCCAAAAAAACCGAACAAAACCCAAACCAAAACAAACAAACAAGCAAAAAACAAATGCAAACTCTGATGGGAAGATTCCTGTATTGTATTTGACCAGAAAGGCACTGTTGTGTCAGACATGGCTTTTGTTACTGCTGTGATCCTTGGTGTGTTCTGCTCCAGGGCAAGGTGGAGCCATGCAGAAATTTCCTCATTTTCTTTACTTGCTAGTAATTGCCCCTTACCTTGTGTTTTTGATCTTCAAAGCTCATTTCAAATGCTAAGTAATTTTTGCAGCATTCCTTAAACTTTGGCAAGAAGTATGCCTGCTTTTGTAGGTGGATAAAACTGATTTTGATAGTGTGACTTGCCCAAGGCTACAGGATTAAATCTTATTCTGTGTTAGTATTAACTTTGGCAGCTCCTGGTGTCTGGGCTTAGGAGGAAGTGTTTTGGGCTTCTCTTACCTGTACTGATGACAAATTCGAGGGGCAGGGCTCTCACCACTAAAAGGGGCAGAAGGGAGTCTGAAATCCAGAGCATGTGGTTCAAAAGTATGGATCCGAGCGTGGTTTTATTAGGACATATTATGACAGAGTAAGTTCTTGGAATGAGTGGTTGGGTCAAGAAGAGAGCTTGGTGGTGTCACTAGGCTGAACTAGGCACATGACATTCTGGCTAGCAGGAGGTACACATTATGGGGATACCCTGTGGGTAGGAAAGGATTTGCTCAGAGCTTATGTCTTACTACACAGTGGATAATCTAGATGCAACACCCAGATACCAAGCTCTGCTTCCTCTGCAGAACTGCTCATTTAGTTCTTCCCATGGAGTGGACCTGAACTTTGGTATTGGAAACCCACTGAAACTGGTGGCCTTTCATAATGGGCAGAAAGCTGGTTTTCACCAGAGACATTTAGTCAGCTTGTTTCTGTGGTGTTCACCTCTGCAAGCCCTGTCATGTGAGCCCAGGAGCTCCTGGTGGTCTTTGGTGCCAAGCTTTGAGCTACAGCAGTGCTATTCCTTCCATCTCTCAGAGGAAACTGAGGCACTGAGTGTCTGGGTAGGAGCTGGGCTGCAGACACGTCAAGTGGGATGGAAATGTACCACAAATGGCTGCTAATGCTGTCACAGCAATCTGAGGTGTGACACAGTGCTGTGGGATTCATTGCGGTTGCTTTTGGAGTTTGCTGTGGGCTGTCTGGTTTGGGCGTCTGTGGCTCAAAGAGTGAATTCAGTTTTGCTTTTTCTTGTGGTGGGTCTACCTATTGCCTCCTTCTCATGGTTTTTGCCTTTTCCCTGATGCTCCTTTGTGCTGTTCCAGCTCTCTTTAGCCACCAGCTTGCTTCTTGGTCACCTCTGGCAGTTTTATCTCTAGGAGCTTTGGCTCTAGCAAATAATCCCGAACCGCTTTGGTGGTTTATAACGTGCTACATTTCTCCTCTGGCTGTGACTCTCTCATAGGGATGTGGCAGCCTAACTGTTGTCCTGAGTCCTGGTCTGTCCTTCCTTTTGGGTTGCACCCTTCTCCTCACTGTAAGGTGTTTTGAAGAACAAGCTCACCATGCTATTTTCATCCCTGTTCTATCCTGCCTGTGGCTGATCCAGAGCTGTGGCACAAATGCTGCAGGACCTTGGCAGCTGACTTCAGCCTACTCAGGATTTATGTGCCCCAGTGGAAGATCTTTTGGTGAAAGATGAAAGGCTGGCAGGTGAAGTGGAGGTCCCCTGATTCACATGATCTGCCTCACTGTAAAATGTCAGCAGCAGTTTATCAGTGTTGATTGTCCCTTCTGGTGCTGTGTTCTCTCTTTATCACACAAATAGAGCTGGGTAGGCTGACATTTCAGTGAACTTGCATTGTCTTATTTAATGGAAAAGTTGCTATTTAGAGCATCAAAAGAAAATGCTTTTAAAGAATATGGTAATATTACTTTGGTTTTTTTAATGTAATAATTGGAGATAATTTGCAGCATTATTTGAGCAAGAAAAATGGGCTCTTAAATCATACATGAAGCTGTACTAAAAGACAGGCTGCTGTCCATTCCATCCAAACATCTCTGAGCATCCCTCTGAAAGCTGCTGAATTCAACAGCAAGTCTTTGCCTGAGGAGTGTAATTCACAGCTCCTGTAAGGGGAGTTATTGTCCTACCCAATTACTTTTATCAGGCTAGATGATAGTCACATTCTCTTTGTGTTCAGGTGCTCTTGTGGAGCAGAAATGTCCATTCTGAGAAGCTGCTGCACTGTCTTTCCCTTCTGCAATAACCTGCTACCAGCATGTGACACTGGCTGCAAATGCCACATCCATAAGACTTTAATGTGTGATTGTAGCTCTTCACTCAGTGGCTTCCCGGTGAGGTCAGAGAGATCAGTTACTTACTTGAGAGTGGCCTCATATCCGATTGTCCTGATTGTGATGAAGCAAGTTGTTACTTCAGGGAACTGGAGGGATTTTTGTAATGGACATATACACTTCTTGTTGGCATTTGATGTGTCTAACTTGGAAACTTGATGCATAAGTGACTACTTCATTGTAATTTGTCCTTAGTATCTCGAAAAGCTCTGAGAGGTGAAAACACTAGACTGTTACAAATGATAGTGTATGCTAATAGGCTTGAACTCTTACAGTGCTTGTTTTCCCTGAAACCATTGGCACTGTGTTAGTGTTAGTGGAGAAATGCTGCCACAACCAATAAACTGAGTTTCCTAAACAGGTTCTTGTTTTCCAAAGTGCAGTGTCCTGGTTGAGGTGAGTGAGTACAGGAAACAGGTCTGACACAGCTCGTGGTCTTGAAAGCAAGTTCTTGTGGCTTCCCAAGGCATGACAAAGAGAAGGATGAGAAATCTAATGCTCCTTGACATCACGAACAGGATGTGACACTTGCATTAATCATATAAGTGTGCCCAGAGGCATACTGGTACATCAGTGCACGTGGGTCCTTTGGCCTTTTACTATTCTTAACTGTTTGTCTTTTATGGTTTTTCAAGGAGGTGGTAAATTATAAAGGATGTATGTATGAAGGCAGAGGGATCTCAGCTTACTTTAAAGCTTGTTCCATGCTGCATGGTATCTTTTGCACATGTTGCAGTGTGCCCAAACAGATGGCATGTGGCACTCACTTTATTCTTCTTTGCATCCAGGTTCACTTCCCTGATGTCGAACGAGTGGAGTGGCTGAACAAGGTGAGGAGCTCTGAACTCCAGTTTGAGGCCACCTGCTTTGAGCTGCATCCCAGTGCAAACTCTGTGGGACAAGTCTGAGAAGGTTGTCAAGTCGCTACCATACAGCTCAATCCCATCAGTATCTGTACTGAAATGTGGAGCCACTTGAGTATAGAGTTGCCACTGAGGTTTTGGTGAGAGCCAGTGTGAGCCTGGTTGATACAGGTTTGATGAATTTCACAACAACACTTCATTCTGAGATTAAAAAATGAAAGCAAGTGTGTGAATGTGTGTGTGCATGTAGATATGTATATACATATGTGTGTATGTATTATTATTTTAGCAGAAGTATTGATATCTCCTCTTACCAGAGGAGAGCTCTAAGGCATATGCTCCCATCAGCAGGTGTAGTTAACCTCTCACTGGAACTGAAAACTTGGTGGAATTCAAAGCAAAACAGCCGAACTTGAAAATTAGAAGCCAGTGACTACCTTTTTTTTATTTATTTTTATTTTAACAAACTTTATTTTTTATGTAAAAGCTCATCTCGCTCCTCTTTCAATAAACCCAACTCCAGGGAACTCTGGGACACTTTAGAGTAATTAGGGACTGTTGTGCTCTAGAGACTTAACCCTGGGCCTTGTTGGCTCCCGTGGTTAGAAGTAATCCATAGACTGTATGGTGCTGATAACTCATCATTCAGTTCCTGAAACAAATTCCTGTTCTGAGGAACTGGGATGGATCCTTCCATAAGGATGATGTAAGTGCACAAATGTGACTTGGTATTTTAAAAGGACTGATATTAATAGCCAGGTGTTCTGTAATGGGTGTGTCTGTTTCTCAACAGAAGGTGTCTTATGTAAGGAATCTTTACTGTGTTTCTGCTTTTGCTGTTCTCTAGGTCCTTGTCCAGGCTTGGCCATACTTTGGAACAATCATGGAAAAAACATTTAAAGAAGTTCTTGAACCGAAAATCAGAGCAAAGAATGTACATCTGAAAACATGCACGTTTACCAAGATCCACTTTGGTGAGAAGGTAGTGTAAGTCCTGTTAATGTTTGTGGTTCACTCTTTTCTGAAAGGTTCGGGTGCAAGGGAAGTCTGATGTTCAGCTCTTTAATAGCTTTGTTCCCTCCTCATGTTGACTTGAGCATCTTCACCGTGAAGGAGAGATCATACAGGAGAGACACACGTCTGTTCCCACATGGTGTCAGCATCCTCGGACTGGAGATAGAAAGAAAAGGGCTATATCTATATTTCTTTCTGTCACACCCTTGCAACAGGAGTTTTCAGTGCTTCCTAAGGCTTGCAGCATGGGCTACTTGCAACCAGCCCTGTGTTTGAGGACTGCCAAGGCTGTTCCCTCTTTAAGGGGAAAAAAACTAATGTGGTTTACTCATGTTTTATGTGCCATTTTGCAAAGTCTTTAATGGATGCTTCTGTACTCAAATTGATCAAAGTGAACAGGACTTTTCACTTGGGCTTGATAGATATTAACTATGTCATATCTTGTTTGTCTTTATTTCAGTGCCCTAGAATCAATGGAATAAAAGCCTACACCAAAGAAATTGGTAGAAGACAAGTTACCCTGGACCTGCAGATATGGTAACATTGCATCATTGATTGTGTAGATGGTTTTTAACTCATTGCCCATTTCACACCTGTGTGTCATGCTGGACTGGATATGTGGTCCACTAAGATCAGCGTGAAGAGGTCCTTATCTTATATCAGCCTAGAGTGATATGAGATAGTCTGCCCTCAGCTAGATGTCCTCAATATTTACAGAAGTGAAAGGCTGTGCATCAGCCTCTCAGTCAGAAAGCACCTGCACAGGTCTAGGTTTACCTGCTCTGGCCCATCACTGCTGCCATGGGTGTTAGAGTGTGTCCCTTGGCTTTGCAATTGATGGCAGTAAGAACCCAATTTTTGGAATTGTATTGCCTGTTCTGAAAGCTCTCAGGTATAGAGGTGCTCGGTTTGTCTTGCCCACTATGGTTTCTCATTAGTCCTACCTCTCCAGTTCTTCCAGAACTACTTGCACTATTTATTTTTTAATTCCTTCCTCTGGTTTAATCTTCTGGTTTTACTCACTGTTTGTTCTATGTGCCACCCAACACATTTGCTTTTTTGATTACAGCTGTTCTCTGAGCAGAAAACTGCCTCTAGCTCTATCAACAGCAACAATAACAAAATTAGATAAAACGTTTAATACCTCCCAGGCTGTTTTGAATGAGTTTGTGTGTTTTGTTAACATCAGAGCCATTGCAGAGCTAAACACTCTCCTGGTTTAGCCTGGAGAATGGAATTACAGGAAGAATTACCAAATGAATGCTGCTGTAGCTCTCTAAGTTTAGTGGGCGATTGAGCTGCCTAATTTTAAATGGCTTCTCGTGGTAGTGCCAGGAAAAAACAGTGTGAAATTATGGAGTGTTTTGGCAGCAGCACAGAGGTCCTCAGAACTGTGCCTGCTGCTTAATGTGGCAGTGGCATGGCAGCATCCCCAGCCCTGGCAGAGCACCATCGCTCCCTGTAAAACACGATTGATTTTCAGCCAGGTGTTGTGCTTCAATGCTGGGAGCAAAGTACTTTTTGTAATAGCCAGGTCACTGTTAGGGCCTTTGGCAAATCATTCATGCTTTCCATGTTGAGACTGAGATCTGATGCCTTTTAGGCTCTGCAGAACATTGCTGTTCTCTGCTAAACTGCTTCTCCAGGCTGCTTCTCTGACATAATAATTTTCACTGTCTTTTTAACAATCCTCTGCAGAGGGATTCCCCCACCTCCACATTCCTGTCCCTTTGGCAGACCCATCAGCATCTCCAGACTGGCCTTCTGTTCCTCATACTGATGATAACCTGACCTGAACTGTTGTCTGATAACCCAGATGTTTTCTGTATTCACACAGGAGTGTGCAGTCTACTTTGTCTCTGATGGGGGTCTCTTCTCCAGGGCTGTGTTAAGGCCCCAGCTTCACTTGTGTTAATACATCAACATCAGTTTCTGCAGCTAAGCTGAGTTGTGTGTTGTGCAGTGTCCACAGGAGGTAGTGTGTTAGTTCCAGAAACATGAAGCAAATCAGTGAGCAGTAGTGTTATTTACCTGCCTTTTCCTAGATTACCAAAGGAACGGGGTTTTTTCTGCTACTTAGAGGAGATGGAGTTGAGCTGCCCCAGTGTGAGGCTGCTGCCCTTCACACTCTCAGTCACTGTGTGATGGTGAGGTTTAAATGACTATCTGTCTACAGAGCTGCATTCTGGCATCACAGCTCTGGAGGAGAGTGATGTGCTGTGGGTCCCTGTGTGGCTCACTGTGCAGTGCTGGCAGCACAGTGACCTCCCTCTCTGGGGTTAGGTTTCAGAGAAGTGTAGCTGTGTTGCAGTGGACATTAAAGGATTAACGTGTCTGCATGTTATAAACATGACTCCTTTGCCTTGGTGCTTGCTAGCTGTAATTTGTGGGAGTTCCCTCGCTGGTGAACCCACGTGAGTGTGACCTTTGGCTGGGTCACCACTGCATGCAGCGCTGACCAGGGCAGCTGCAGCAGGGAAGGCTGAGCAGCTACTTCACACAGGGTGCTGTTACCCTGGTGTTCAGCTGCCTTGGCAGCAGCTCTGCCCCACTCCAGTGCTGAGTTACCCTTTGTGTTAGGCAGTGTCTTGCATCCAGAAATCCCAGCATACTCTGAAAATGCTTTTTGCTTTCAGTCTCACAGCAGTACAGGAGGAGGGATTTTTTTCCCTCTGGTTTTATCAAGGAGGTAACTAGTTGCTGAAGCCCAGAGTTTTTGACTTAACATGGGGAAAACACAGAAAAAGGGCAGGACTAGAAAAAGCCTTTCCTTCTTAGCCTTCCTTTGTGGTTGGTATGGAAACATTTGTGTAGTTTTAATAGCCACTTGTACATGTGGTTCACCAAGGGCTTTGTTTAATCTGTGCTTCTGACCTCCACAATCGGATGCAGTGCTGAATACTGGGGTTCAGTTCTGTGCCATGAGAAGAGGAACTTGCTTTCCTCTGTTTTAAATTTGCAGTGTGATATCACAAATTGAACCCTTTGCTTGGGAAGTGTGAAAAATAGCACTTAAAGGTCCCTTACTTGTATGGGCAGCAGCAGTCAGCAGAACCAGGGGTTCAGTAGGTCTAGTATTGCATGGAGTTACCAAAAGAACTCAAGAAGCTGCTTTAATTAAATCTGTTAACAACAGCTTACATGGTTGTACATCAGGAATGGTTATGTAGAGGATCATCTTATTACAGTCTTGACTGTTCTGCTTGAAAGGACTATACTTGAGTTTTTGGCAGGAAAACCAAGGCTCAGAGGTGGTTACACAGAGGTGAGGCACACAGATCTTTTGGCAAAGGCAAGAAAGGAGGCTACAAGATTTCTTTCAAAAACTTTTCTCGGTCCCTGAGATGATACACTCTGTTGGTGTAAATTAGAGTTCTTGCAGTGACTAAACGAAATATGAGATCCTTGCCGGACTGGGATTTGAAATCCCCAAATCTGAAATATGAGATCCCAGCTGGAAATAAACTGGCAATACTCTGGGATCTCCAAACAATTTGCCCTAGATGTAAATCATAAATCCGGTGTCCCCTGAGCGTAGGGAGCTGACAGTTGCATTCTCCAAATAAATTGATGTCAAAGCATTCCAGAAATGTTCTCAAAACTGCATTTTCCAAAATGAGAATTTTGCAAGTGCAACCACTTGACTTCCTACAGCTAGCTCTTCTTCTCACTTTCTGCAGTTGTCTGAGCTGCTGCATAGCCATATAATCATTGGATATAATCATGGAGTTTCAAAGTATTTGAAGGCACTACTACCCTCCTGAAAATATCTTGAAATACAGTTTCTTCCTATTCCATTAATATGCTTTTACTTATAATCATTTTGCATTGAAAATGTGCTGAATTTTCCATCCTCTTCTGTGGCATTTACAGCACATGAGAAGTCATAGAAGAATAGTGTAATAATTAATATGTATAAAAATGTATTAATTGCAATTTACTCTCTCTGGACTTCTAACTGGCAAGTTTTCAAAGCTGTAAAGATAGTCTGCCTGGAGAAAGAAGTCAAAAGAAGTATGCAACAATACTTTGAGCTTTAGTGGAGTTTGGGCTGAGTAAGTTTGTAGGCTCTTACAGGAAAATAAAAGCTTTATGAAAACAGGTCAGTCTTGAGCGGAAAAGGAGCCTGACTGGATAGGGAAAGAGAAAAGGTAGAGATGGTTTGTGTTTTCTCATACCCTGTGTTACCTGGTCACATTTTCTTGTCTCTCTTATTTGTATAATACTGCATGTTCATCTCCCAAGTACAAACCACTTCAAAATGCCGGCCCAAAGGGGGATTTTAGCGTGGGGGGCCATGAGAATGTGTGGCCCATGAGCAGTTGTCTTATTGCACTTTCCTTTTCTAAAGGGATGTACAGACATCCAGGTTAGTTCAAATTGTTAGCATGTGCTCTTGTAGCAACCCTGCCTTCAGCCAGTGGATTGCCATTGGATCATAAACACCAGGACCAGCTTTTCCACCCAAATACAGAAGAGATACAGATGCGTGCAGCTGCTCATCCACAGCTCAGGCATATCTGCATCACCTTGTGCAGCAGGTGATTTAGGGGAGAAATGGGTGGTTATTCCACTCTTCACAGGTGGGTAAAGCATGGTCCTGTGGAGGGTGGAGGGCCTTGACCCTACACACTTTGAAGTGTCAAGACTTGAGTTTGGCTCAGGTGTGCTCTCTCTGGGGGAGGACAGCAGAGAGCTCAACAAGGATACACTGAGCAGAGGAGCAGATGGAAGGACAAACAGCTGGGACTGGAAATGAGGAATAAAACTAATTAAAAGAGTGCATCCTTCCTACTAAGCACCCTGGTGTGGGGGTGATGCCTGTATGAGGCCAATTTAAGAATAATTAAAGACTCAGGCTCTGTTAAGACTTCTCCAACACGTAGACTCTAAAACATGGTGGCAGCTATTGGAGTGTTACTGGAGAAAAGAGACATCTAGGACTGGGTAGGAAGAGTTTTTGACTGTGTGGAAAAGCATAAACACTGTAAATTAAAACACCACAGCTCTTACTTGTTGTGTCGGACACTGGCAACAGCTGAATTAAATCCTCTTGGATTAATTATTGCAAATTGAGGGACTCATTTTGGCTCCTCATTTAGAATTTTATTGTAACAATGCTCTATTAGCACCCACTGTAATGAGCTAAAAGATAATGTCAAAATTGTAGAAGTTAACAAATGTAAAATAAGTTTAATTAAGTGACTAGCTTTTAAGAAAGATTGTGTTAATTTTGGCATGGCTTGTGAGGTCGGTTATTTAAGAAATGAGAATGCTCTAACATTAAAGGCTTTAATCTCTGTGTTAGGTGCTCTTAAAATTCTGTTAAGTGACTATCTGTAAACAAATATACAAAGAACTTTGCTTGCAAAAATGAGGACAAATTCACATGGTTGCACATTCTTGGCAGGGTTTTTTTGGGTGGGAGGGAATCTGTCTATGTGCAAATTACAACATGAATTTGTGGCAACTGCAGCACTATTTACCTGTATAGATGTGGTCAGAGCAGAAGTCTTGTCCTTTTCCTTTGATTATGGGGTGAAATTATGCATGCAGGAGGCAGGCACAGCACATTCACTGTACTGCTGTATCTTTACACCCTGCTTTACCTGAGAGTGTCTGTGTGTCTGCAGCCAGAGCTATTTCTCAGGGGGCTGAAAGGGAATTTGGTAGCTCCCTTCAATTGTTTTCTGCCAGAGGCATCAACAGCTCTGCTATGTTCTTCTCCCTGGGGAATGGCTATCAGTTTCTGCATGAGGTGATGTTTGTACTTTTATTAAAGTCTCTGGTGGTTTCCAAATTGCCAAAATACCACTTTCAGCATTTGCTTTATTTAAAACCTGATGTTCTCCATGGCAACTGACCAAAATCTGATCTAAGTCATTGTCTTTGAATTCAGCCTCAAGGAAACCAGGTTATTTTTAGTGATAAATTTGTCCTTCGAGTGGATTTTTGGGTTGTGGGTGAGGGTGATCTATGAGCTTTTTGGGTGTGGGCAAGGTGGGAACCCCATAAGTAATAGGACAGCTCTGCACCTAGAAGCTGGGTCAGCAGGTTGTCGGGCCTTTGGCAGAGAAGGGAGCAAGTAGGCAATTGCTTTTGAATGAGCTTGTTGATCCCCTCCTTGCAGTGAGCGCACCTCAGCCAACCACCAGCCTTAAGAATAGAAAAGTAACCGTGAAATACAGATGTTACTTTGATATTTTACAGGTAGAACAATATCCCAGCTGACTGCAGGGATTCTCTTGTGCAGATCTGACCCTTGTTCAACTCACCCTTTTCAGTCACTTGAAAATCCATCTCTGCCTGGGGGGTTATGTTGTCAATCCTTAAACTGATTTCATTTATACTCTGTACAGCCCCGAATTTCTCATGGAACTATTGCAAACTGTGGAATAAAGTGATAATTTTCTTTCAGTTACATAGGAGACTGCGAGATTCACATGGACATATCGAAATTTAATCTTGGCGTGAAAGGTGTCCAGGTGCGTGCTGTGCTGATGTTTTCTGTTCAAGGCTGTGTGAGGCAGGAGGCAGCACATCCCAGTGGGGAGGTCATGACACTTAACTGGGAAATCACCAGCTATTCAGCTTGGAACTATTGGCTTTATCTCCTTGTGTTTTGGCTGGGGAAATGGTGCCTTCCATGGAAAGCACCTAAATACCACTTCTAAGCTTTGTAGTGTGACTCTTAAACAGGGTCAGTGCTAGAGCATCGAGTCTGTGTGGGGCAGCTTCTGCCACTGGAGTTCAGAGGAGCTGCGTGTTGGTGGAGAACTTCAGAAGAACCAGGACATTCATAAACTGGTGTAGATGAAACCAACAACCTGTTCTTACAGTGTTGAAAGCTAGTAGGCAGAGCACTCCATTGTATGGCAGGATTGCAGAGAGACTCCACAAACATAGCAAGTATTTCCTGGTATCAGTAGCAGTGGTTTGGCGGGAGGAGGTTATTGTTGTTATTAAATTCTTAATAGAATTGGCTTCAAGCAGGATTTTTAAAATTAACTCCATCACTGAAAAGCTCACAATTTTGAAACCACATCCTGAGAATACCTTAACACTCAGCTTTCCTTGGTCTGTTCTGTTTGCAGTTGTATGGGACCTTGCGGGTGATCCTGGAACCTCTTCTAACTGATGCACCTTTTGTGGGAGCAGTGACCTTGTTTTTTATGCAGAAACCGGTGAGTCAGTAGTGGTGCAGGTGCTTGAATAACAAATGCCTGATTGTTCAGTGCTCTCTTGAACTCTAGGAGGACATGAATGAATTTGCCCTAAATTTTTGTAATAGTGCTTAAAAAGTTACTTGCTTCACTCTAAGAATGGAAGTGCTGTCAGTCTTCTTCTAGTGACAGCACAGTTTCCTAGGCCTTTGCTGTAAGGTTCCTGGCTGGTGGATATTTCCATTCATAGATTTTAAATGCAGTCATCTCCCAGACAATTCAACCATGGTTGACTTTTGAAAGCTCTCCTGTTTAAGGTCATGTGCCTTGTAGTGAATTGTAGTTTAATAAAATATGAGAAACCTTTTAGTCTTGTAAGGACCAGTTAGTTATCTTATGGCACACAGCTTTGCTTGTGGGTTATGCTCTGCTTGAGTTCATGGGAGTCATATATTTTTGATCTTGGATGAGGTGTTCTTGTGTTTAGATTTAGTAGCACTATTTTAGCACATGAAAAAAAACCCTTTTTGTTTATTGTAAGAGTAGGGATACAGACAACCCCCTGCCTCAGGGCATAGGCCAACCTCTAAGTGAAAGGATGAGGAAACAACTTCAAAGTCTAGGTAGAGTTGTTGAATTTCCTGCATGACCCCGGGGCATCTGCCAGTGGCCATTGCTAAGGGCTGAATGCTTTCTTTCCTTGTGCTTGCAGGTTAAGTCCCAGTGATATCCTCATTTCAGGATGGCAGATAAAATAGATAAGGGAATTGATACCAGCTGTTGGTTTTAATGTACAGTTGCAATCAATTACAGGTGCTGGTTTTCCTTTCTTTAAACAGCTCGCTTTGTTTTAGAATAATTTCCCCTTTAAATTCTGCATTTGTTTTGAAATAAATTTTAATAATCCTGTATATGTTTTCTCCCTGCTCTTGTTGTAGCATTTGGAAATTAACTGGGCAGGCATGAGCAACCTCCTGGATGTCCCAGGGATTAAGTGAGTGTCTACTTTGCTTCTCTTTATTCATATTCAAAAAGCCTTCAGAAGTTGGGTCTTCAGTAATCATCAAAACTGTTCTCAAGAACGTTGTGTAAAAGGTTGTGTTGTGTGCTGGTTACTCATCCCATAGTATGTGGCTGTGGAGTTTGCAAAACCTGAGGAGGGTGCTTTTTACATTCTGTCAAAATTGCTTCAATTGCTTCACTGAATTTAGGATGGAAGTAGTAAATCCATCAGACAACAATGATTTAATGTTGAGAAATAGCTGCAGTCCCTCTGACAAACTGAAATACAATCCATGATAAAGAAAACCACACCAGATTTATAAGGAGAAATGTTCTCTTTTCATGTAATCTACATTTCAGAAAATGTAACTCTTCCCCAATGCTTCCTGGGTTGGTGTTGCACATAAAACTTGCACAGCAAGGATGAAAATCTTAGTGGTTTTCAGTACTGTAAGTTTCAAACTGTTTCACCAGATTGGGGATAAACTTTGTCTTTGTTCCTTAGTGTAAGGAGAAAATTCTGTTACATAAGATCAAAATATATTTGATTACTCAGCCTTTGCCTTTCTCCCTTCCAATGCAAATGCAGACATTTCTGTTCCCCACTGTTCTTCTGCAGCTCATGGCTTTCAGACTCACAGGAAGTGTCTTCTTTAGGTGCCAGTTTATGCATTAAAGGGCCTCTGAAGACTTTTGATGTTGAGTGAGAGGAAGCTTTCTTTTTCTCTTAATGTGAGGCCAGAGTGGCCTTTTGCCCTGAAGTTTGGCCTGAGAGCTCCAGTTTTTATCAGAGGAATTAATCTATTCTTTTCTAACTTAGTTTCCCTAATCCTTGCAGGGAGAAATTATGTAGGTGTTCCAACCTACAGCCTCTCATATAATTAAGTGCAAATTTAGTGTCCTAAATTTTCACTCCCTGGTTCTCTCACAGGGATTTGAACGCAGAAATCTTTGCTTGTCATGAGCACTGCAATGAGAGCTGGGAGCAAAACTTGCCTGACCATGAAGGGGCTGAAGTACAGGTGTAACAAGAGCCCTCCCTTTCAAATGGATTGGGTTTACTTAAGAGAGGAAAGAAACTGGATGCAGTTGTCTGTCCTCATGTACAAGCTGTGTTTAGTTGGGTGCACCCTGAAGACCCAAGAGAAAGGACAATTCTGTGACATTCCTGTGGGGTTTTTTTTTACAGGAAAACCAACAGTCTGACCAAGGCTCATGGTTTAACATTTGGAATAGGAAACTACTTTCCTTATGTGTGAATCCAGCCTCCTCTGTGGATTGTGGCACTTTTGTTACACAGTCTTACTCTGATAAGCTGCCTTATAAGCACTAGATTTATCAAGAAGATGAAAGTATTTCAGATACTTGATGCTCTTGGGTTTTCCTCTTAATATTGTCTTTTGCTCATGACAATTTGTAGTGGGATGTTGAAATCCTCTCATTAATCATGTGGAGAGTACTGGATATCTATGATTAGCCACATATTTCTTGCTCAGGAAAAATAGTTCAAATTGGTTTTCCCTGTCATACAAAGAGAGCAATTGTAAAGAAAAGATTTAAAACAAAAAGCTAAAAATGTGTAAGTTGTAATTAGGCTGGAAGATTGCCTAAACTCCGAGACAGTACCCTCAATTCAGCCAATGTGATCTCCAATTACTTAAACCAAGATTTTCCCTCTTAGCACAAAATATTCCAAGATACAGAATTTTATCTTTTACTTGGTCTTCTATTAAACTAAATGAGCTTGGGACTTTTGTTTTTTTTGGGGATTGGTGGGGTTTTGTTTGGTTTTTTGTTTGTTTGTTTGGGGTTTTTTGTTTTGTTTTGCTTTTTTTCCGTGGCTGGCTTCTCCTTCTATTTTACAGTAAGGTGTCAGCATGCGACCAAGAGCAGGCAGCAGTGTGCGCTAAGGCCATGTTCCAAGTCTTAAAAACAAACTGCCTCGAGGCCTTGAGTCCCCTGGGAAATGGGTGAAACCTCCTGATTCCCTCCTCACATTGCCCATCCCAGAAGGCACATGAGTTTGCCTTGTTTGGGTGTGTGCATGATGTCACACAGCCGAAGCTCCCTTTCATCATTTACAACCTGCTACAGCCAAATTCAGTCCAGCAGTAGGGATGCTCCTTAATGCAAACTTGCATCACTAAATTGAAGTTGAATGGCCACTCTGCAACTCTTTTTATAGAATCATTTAGATTGGAAAAGACTTTTAAAGATCATCAAGTCCAACTATTAACTCACCCAACTGCCAAGCCCACCACTAAACCATGTGCCTAAGCACTGCTTTTACAGGTCTTTTAAACACTTCCAGGGATGGTGACTCAACCATTTACCTGGATGGCCTGTTCTAATGCTTGACATCCTTTAGGGGATTGTGGGCAGCATCACTCACTTTGCAGTGCCCAGTTTCTTTTGCTGTGCCTCATTCTTTCGCTCTAACCGAGTTGTGATTGATTGTAGAAACTGAGGTTGCTTTTTTCCCCCACCTGCAGTGTAATGTCAGACTCCTTAATTCAAGACTTCATTGCTGCACGGCTGGTTCTGCCGAACAGGATCACAGTGCCTCTGAGAAAGAACATGAACATTGCCCACTTGAGGTTCCCTATCCCCCAGGTGAGTTGTTTTTTCAGTGAGAGTGTTTATCTTCCTGAGTGTGCATTTGGCACCACATGGGTGCTTGCAAGCTTAGTGACTTAGGATCCTGCATCAGCTCTTTTAACCTGAATTATGGGCTTTTTGTAGGTGATAGTTCAGAAATATATCGGTAGATGTTGGATAGTTCATAATTTGGGAGGGGGGACATGGACACTCGGGGTTCCTACCCTTTCTATGTGGCATAAGGAGTCTGTTTAGACTCTGAACTCATTTACCAATTAAACCTTTAGTCTCTAACTGAAGATCTGTGCTATACTCAGATGAGAGGATAAATACATGAGCAATGAATGTCCAGCTATTTAATATTTTTACTAATGCTCTGAAAGGGTGTAAATAGGGAACTTGGAGAGTGACATATCTTTGTTACAGAAAAAAAATGGGAAAAAACCCCAAGAACAAATCTCCTAAATACTTGACATATCCAGGTCTTCAGTCTCCTTCATCCAATACCTAATAATCTTATTAATAAGGATAAATATAAATGAGTGACAAAAGGATGCTCCCTATTGCAAATGTACATCAGCAAACTGAAGTTGAATGGCCACTGTGCAATAAAATAAGTCCCTGGCATGGGTGCTTAGTTCCTTCTTCAGTCACGGGGAATTGATCCTTACACTTGATTTGACTGTGGCAATAATGCTGTGTGCATATATATGCTTCTGATTTAAAAATAAATTGAATATTATTTCCTACTCAGTTATCTAGATTGCCTTGTGCATCTGCTTAAGGGTTTTTTCCCCTCTAGGTAAGTGGTGGGAAAAGTGTTTTAATACAGCTGTCACTGGAAATGTACTGCATCAAACTGTGTCTTTGCAGAACTGTCACAGTGACTGCCCTTGCTGCCTGAAATAACTAATTTTAGGAGGCAGCATATTATAATTATCCAAAGATTGAATTTTCATGACCAATTCTGTATCTTATTTTATTCAGGGGGTAATAAGGGTTCATCTGCTAGAAGCTGAAAACCTTGTCCAGAAAGACAGTTTCCTTGGTGCAATCAGGGGGAAGTCTGATCCGTACGCTCTCCTTCGCGTCGGCACGGTGCAGCATCGAAGCAAGACAGTTTCCAGAGATCTTAATCCCATTTGGAACGAGACATTTGAGGTACTGAATCTTTTGATCTCTCCATCTGTAGGATGCACAGCTATTTACATCCCTGTGCTTGGAGGACCTTCTCTTATCTGACTGCACTGGAGCAGGTGGACTTCCTTGTTACTCGATTGAGGCATTTCTGTCCCTTAAACAAGTTCAGATTTACATTGTAAACTTGAAATGTCATTCAGGTTGATCTGATTTACATGTGTGGGTTTTTGGAGGAGGTGCAGAGCCCTGCTTTAAATATCAATCAGTGCAACCGTAGGCTGCTCTAGCATTGGTTTCTCTCCACTTACTAGGGATACCAGTTTGAGGAGTTTAACTTGTAGTTCAAAAACAAGCAAACTGAATTTGAAATATTTTCGCCTATAATCAATTGTATTTGTTACACAGTTAGCCACGAAAGAGCAGGGAATGTCCTTTGTGTCTTATACAGCTGTGAAATGTCACGTTCTTGTCCACAGCTTTTTGGTTTTAATCAATACCTCTTTCTCCTCCAGTTTGTTGTTCATGAAGTGCCTGGTCAGGACTTAGAAGTGGACTTGTATGATGAAGATCCAGATAAAGATGACTTCATGGGCAGGTAAATTAGCATGATCTTTGCTCGGGGTCCAGTAACCGCTGCTATGGGACACCTGGATTATTTATATTGGCAATTTAATATTGTTGGAAGCCATTCCCTTTGCCCAGATATTGATACCAAGTTATTAGTTTGTAGTGCAACTAACTTTGAGCAAGGTAGAGAGTGGCCCATGCTCAAAGTTAGTTGCAC